CTATCACTTAAACCTAATCATTACTATGACATTCTGTTCAGTCACTGGTTGGCTTCCTTTAGTTAACAAAACTTTTAGCTTGTAATTTATTGCCCAGCTTGTGGACTCAATGGGGAGTCCATTTGGGCAGTAGGGTTGCCATTCTGGTTAGATATACTCATCACAAGGTTTTCTGGTTCCATTTGCTTAAATTTATTCAACTCTTTTCTAATGCCTGAGTTAATTTTGTCATGCTCACAGCAATATCCAGGAAATTAAAACTTAAATTCTGAAAACTCCAAGGATAATCCTGGAAGGTTGACAAACCCCTAGGGCCACATTACATTCCAATGTGTTTTGAGCTGTTCAATATTTTGGGCACAGATAGTGCTTGAAGACACTTGGTATTGGCCTTGTACCTTAACACCAACACTGAGACTGAAAGTGGTGCAGTCATGGAGAGACAGCAATCTGCTCAATAAAATATTGGCTTCTGTGATCTGGACCAGTGAAATCAGAACTTATCAATTCTTATTGAAATTGTCAACGATAATCCAACATGCGGTGTTATTCGGTCTTCCTACCACAAACTAGATAAAACTTGGCAAGCAAATCATTGAGCATGAGACTATGCAGAGATGCAAACCCTTGAGCTAAAGGGGTAGCAGGTGTAATGCGTGTCAATACAATGTTGAGCCATTTAAATCATATTAGGATTCAATTTTCATCAAGTTCCTTTTAATAGTCTATTTTGGCCCTTTGAGGGCCACCTTCATCTCGTTGCAGAACCTACTCTGCACAAGTTTCATCTGCTTGATTGAACAACACTTTGGAGGTTAGAAAATAAGGAAAAGGTAAGGGGACTGAATTTCTGTGGATGGAAGGGAGGGGATGTGAGATGATCCTCCTGATCTCCCATTGCGACAGAAATTGAGAAAACCTAGCAAGAAATTTCTACTCTATAGAGTGTTGCAGTTTTGCTGTACATCACAACAGTGAGGGTCAGAGAAATAAAAAAAACACTGTGGATTATAACATGGAGAAGTTTAAACATCTTCATTCATTGGCATATAACATGTAGCCATTACAATCATAAGACAGTAGCATATCCAAAATAATATAAAAATAATTTAAATTTTACTTTAAAATTAATACATGAGGGTTGTTGCTTTAAGTGTTTTCTTACCAGAAAGGGCAACATACTGAAAAAGTTTCATTAAAGGTAGGTGGACAAATGTTTTCATTGTTCAAAGTGATGGAACTGCACATTACAAGAGGTATGTGATTAAACTGGCATAAACTTTGGTAGCTATGAGAATGTGTATACTTATATAAGTTAGAATTGATAAATAGTATTTTCTCATGTTAATCATTTATTAATGCATGCCAAAATTGACTATATATTTAATATTTACAGTGACTGTATGCTAGTTTGTCATATAATTTTACTGAAACAATGAAATACTGTGTAACTATTCTGACACATAGAAGTTCTGAATTATAGTCATTTTGGAGAATTGTGGAGCTTAAAATTGACAGTCTACACATAAACTCCACCTTCAGTTCACAGTGATGAAAGAATATTTTTTTGCTCAATTTCAAATACTGAACCATAACATCAATTGATGCCACAATAATATAATTTTACTGTGTATCATTTATTGTATGCCTGTTCGTACTAAACCATTGGTAGCGCAATGCAATGGTCCTCATTAGCACAGAGGTAAAAGATAAATTTTCCCAAGTGACAAGTCACTTTCTGACATGGATGGGGTAGAAAAGGATGTTGCACCATCCACACTCATCTACAAGGATCAATATAACATGACATGTGAGTTCGTGCAGTGTACATTACATATTCAGTTTATGGTCCATTTCTTACATACTGCACCCAACCTTGTATTCTTTGTTGCCTCTTGACAATCTGTTAATAGTAGCATATTTGGAGATTCCAGTTCAGTAAGCATGTAGGTCAGAGAGATCCCAGGCTCAGATCAGATCTGTACAGTTAGCTGGTAACAGTGAGGGGAAGGGAGAAGATTTCCCATAGTTGAACTCCAGGAGAAGAAACAACAAGTGATATTTTTACTACTAACTGCCATCTATTCTTCTCACCCTTCTTCCCTAGAGCTTTGGATTCTACCTGCTGTTGTGGTCTGCTCTGGAGTATTTCCTGGCCAATTGGATGCCAACTTGTCAATCAGACTGATAGTAAGTCAGAGAGCCTGTCAGCTCCAATGGACACACATTGCACAGTTAGTTAAAACACCACAGCACCCAAATTCCATTCCACTCCCCTTGAAGTGCACAGGAGAAGCAGCTTTATAAATGAGCATTACTCAACCACCTGCCATTGCATTTTAAAGTCCCATGCTTTATACATGAAGTTTATATATTGATTAATCACTGGACTTCTGAGCTGCTGACAATCTGGTGAAAATGATTTCTTAGCCACTTCAGACCTTTTTCAATGACCACAATCTTCCAAGGAAGGGTCTGTAGAAATGGTGGTCAGGCAAGATTCCCTTAAAAAGGAAAAACATCACGAAAGGTGCCAAATTGAAAAAAGTGAGAACAGAATCATCCAACCCTTCTTCTGCTTTTAAATGTGAATAAATACATTTTCTTTTGGCATTTTAATGAACTTAGCAATGCAGGCAGTCAAGCAATTGTATTCCAAGCAAGATAATTGTACATTTCAGCCCCAGACTAAAGAGTCGCTAGGATGTTTGTTTTGTGGGTTGGGTTTTGTCAGTCCTCATGCAGTCACTAGATGGAGCACCTCACCAAGGCATCAGTTTACCTCTTAGTGTGTTCATCTTCCTTTGGCAGACACCATCGAGGGTAATGGAATAGGGCTGTTAGTGACCTGGAGCAAAGGCTACAAATCTGTGTTTCACAGATACAAAATGGGTTGTGCTGGGTTGATTTAGCGTTAATGATTATGGAATGCAGTTGAGCCTCTGTCCAACATTCCATGACATTCATCGCTCGAATCCACTTTAGACATAACTGAAGGCACCAGAGTAAATATTCGAGAGACATGTATGTAGTGCAGTGAAGTGCAGTAGGGGCAGAACCAGTTATTCCCTGTCTGAAAACACAACCTGTTGACTAAGCTTGTGAAGTGTATAATGTCAAATTCGACATCAAAATATAATGTCCAAACGATCTTCTATTCTTGCCGTACCATATTTTTAAAATTTTTGCAAAATCACCAAGCAGCCATTTCTCATTTCTGCTGCTGAAATATGTACAATTGACAGATTTGCATTTTGCTTCCAATTCTGTGCTTTAAAATGTTTCAATTAGCAAAATCAGCCAAAAGAATGAAAAAGAAAAGAATGAAATGCTAAAAGAAACAGGCTGGGTGACAAGCTGTGTGTGACAGGTCTTGTTTCACAAGCTAGTTGCATTTTAATTGAGTGAAAAAAACTAGGCCTGTTCAATAATATCCCAACTTTAGAAGCTCCTGAGTAGGGCACACAAAGCCTTACTACCCCACACCTTCACGTGCCCAGGGCACTGTCAAACAAACAATATGGAGTCACGAGACTTGAGATAGACTGAAAACATACAGAATTTGTCCCTCATCTCATGAGTCTATCACATTGTATAAGCCCATGAGAGCACTGAGGAACAGCCATGGGATTGATGACAAAGGATCAGTGTGGGAGCAATGAGGGGCAGCATAGATGAGGAAACATTAGAACAAAGAATAATAGTTGGATTGATGTATGTGAGAAACGAAAAGTCAGATCAGTGACGAACAATGGAAGTGAATGAAAGGAAACGATTTGGAAGAGTGGGGTTGCTGAAATATAGTCCTATAACTGGTGAGGAATGAGGAGCTGTGAGACTAGCAAAAACCAGTACCATACAATGGTGTAAATCAGTAAATGAGTATTTTATGAATATTACAGAGAATAACTCTACCAGGAATGCATTAATATGATTTTTTTTTCTATTCATTCACCCATGGAATGTAGGCATTGTTGGCTGACCCGCATTTATTACTCTCCCCTAACTGCCGTTAAGAAGGTGCAGGTGGGCTGCCCAGTATGCTTATATGGTTATTTAATTAGTTCAAATCAAGGGCATTCCTAAACTTTCAGAAGCCCTTTCCTTTACAGCTGTGCCAATGGTGCCACCACTCTTTTTGCCAGCAGCACTGTGAAATAAATCTGGGAATGCTGATGTTGGTGCAAAAACACTGGGATCACTGGGTTCAGCAACAGCGGCAGACAGTTCGAAGATCAGCTTTCCTTTGTGAGTCAGAAGCAGCCATTGTTTTTAGCCTCTGTTGGAATTGTCCACTCTGCACCAATAGAGGGCAGCATTGGTATGGTTCGATCCCAGTCATCAGCAGCAAGTGAAGTCATACATTGCAAACATTAATGTTTATGCATTTGCTGTCACTGGCCTATGAGTTTGTCAATGCAAAAATGCACCAAAAGCTTGGGATGTAGCATCTTTATCTTGTATCAGTTCTCTAATAATAGCCATGCATCCTTTAAATGATCCACTCCGTACCTCAGACTGAACAGACGTTAATGGGAGGGCACCTTGGAGTTTGATTTTTTTTCCCTTGTTGACTAATCTCGCAAAGACAGTCACAGCAGTGTAAAATAGGTTTAAGTGTTTGGTAGTCATGCTGATTGTTTCATTAACGTTAGCAGATGGAGAAAAGATGTAATAAAATCATGATCCATTCTTATCTCTCTCGTATTTTACTACCAGTCATATCTATAATTCAGAACTTCTGTACTTTTACATATTATAAAAATCAGCCTTTAATAATTCAGCCCTTTAATAGAAAAAAATCCCCGTCTGTTGAATTCTAATTGTGTGAACCTAAAAAGAAACACTTCAATTTTGGGCTCCACATTCCTAGTAGAAATATATTCTACTCTTATTTACATCACCCTGTGCTCCTAATCCAGAAGTTTGCTGGAGTTTACCCACTGAATGGCATCCGTGCAACGCCAGTTCATGCCAATAGTTGCTGGTTGGTTAGGAAGCTATTCCATGCCATTCCTGAGAATTTGATTTGCTGCAATCAACATGACACTGATGATGAAAGCCACACCAAATGCGCAGATCAAGCTCTTCCTCACACACGTCTGTCGGTTCTTCTTTTGTGAATGCACTGCCAGAAGCAAAGAAGAAAGCCGTCATTTGCAGTTTAAACTCGGACAAACACACCCCATGCTTTCAACATAACACGGCCTCAGTCAAGCAGCAGATTTGTGTTACTCTAAATGAAACAGACAAATCTGATGACAATTGGAGTCAATTCTTTGTAGAAGCAGAGTGGGCATTAAAGAACAATTCCACCAATGTAAGAAATCACACAAACAGTGAGCATCAAAATCATCAGTAGGGGCTGCTGCTCTCCAGTGTCCATTGTGCCTTTGTGGCCATTAAGGAAGAAATTACAAATAATTTTAATGCTTGTTTAAAGAACGTAGTTACACTTCTAGTGGATCACATTGGTGGTGTGCTGCATATACAGTAGGGGACGTAGCCAAAGGGACCAGGAAGATTCAAGGTTTTACCATTATTCCACACTGATCTCAGCCAGTGCAGTATGAGTAGTTGCGCTGCAAGTTGAACGGAAGGTTAGAGGGGAAAACCAACTGGGATGCTCAAGATAACGACCAAAGATTCCAGTTTGCATTGATGTGAACAACATTGGGTGTGATTCTGATTATCTTAGAGTTATATAACTCAATAACCCTCACAGAGTCAACTGTGAGGAGTGGTCCCTTGGCTGAGGTACAAGTAGATGTTTGGGTCCAGCACTCTGAGAAGGAAGTTGGGAAAAAATATCGATAAAGAAGAAGCCAGAATCATTTCCCCTACTGGAAGCCAATCCCAGACTTCAATGGTACCATCCAGAAACAATTTGACTTGTGTTTGGTACTTGTAAAGTGAGAAAGAGCTGTACAGCATGACCTTCATGCAAATCAAATAGACGGATTTGATGGGAAAATAAAGAGTACTACTTTATTTGGCTTTCAGGAAGTGTGAATTTTTAATACTGCCTAAACAAAAGGAGCCAATCTTTAGACCCAAGTTTAATTAAATTATTAAGTTTTATTAAGGTAAAAATAGACTTTGATTTTATAATATCAATGTTTTTGTTGGAGAAGCATTGCATTTCATTTTATTACAAAGTAAACACAATTCTTGTTTTATTACAAAAGGACACCATTAATAAATAGTTACCAAACTGAGTTTGGTAATCCATTTATGATCACTTAAAGGGAACCTGGTTGCATTAATCTTCAGAAAGAAAAGAGAAAGCACTTTCACTTCCTTCTTAACAAATGACAAGACTGAATCAATGGTGAAAAGTCAGCCATGAAATCCCTCGTCCCTTTGTTGTTAGGAATTGGATGTGATTGCCATGTTAAATTCCTCACAAATTAGCACTGCAGAAATGAATACTTTGAAGAGTTTATGTTGTGAAAGACCAGTTTACAAATGAAGTAGTTTTGAAGGGTCATAAAGTTCAGGGTTATGATAAGAAGAGTAAGATAGTAAGATGTTGACAGAAAGATGATCAAAGGAAAAATTTGAAATTATTAAACTGCCGGCTTCAAGAATAATAACATCCAACAGTGAAGCTGGTTAACAGCCTCTAACTTTACATCTTTCTCCAATCTAACTCACAAAGAAAAATAAACAATGACTGGAAGGAAAAGATTAGTTAAGGTTTAAAAGAGTTGTCTGCAAATCTTGAGGAAATATTTCTTTGCTCTGTTTCAGCAATATCATAACAGCATGGGCATTTCCTTTTTCATTGTTGGAAAGTATAAATGCAGTTAAATATTTGTTGTTCTCCCTAGATTTTAGAACAGTATTTTATGTGATAAAGATTCTTTCTCAATCCTTAAAAGAGTTCCCTATTTGTGACCAATCTCCTGTTATTTAGTGAGATCCTTGATGCTTTGCAGGGAGCACGGTGTCTCATTACAGCCATGATAGCAGTGAGTGACGGAGCAGGCTTGATAGGCCGAATGGCCTACTCCTGCTCTTATATGTATGTTTCAGTAACAAGTTACTATTGTGTATTTCATACTTGTCTTCAGGGGAAAAAGTGTTATAAAATCGATTTCTTTTGTAAGAGTTCCTTTGGTTTCATGGGATAAGATAAAATGGCAACAAATCACATTGTTTCACCTCTTCTGTCCCTCTTATGTCTCCCAAGCACTCTCTATCATTCTGATTCTGACCAACTGTGCATCCAAGCCCTTCTGCTCAACCTTGGTAGCCTTCAGCTAAGCTGCTCCCCTCCCTGGAATTGCCTCCTTAAACCCTTCCACTTCTTCTCCCCCTTGAAGATGTTCTTTGAAATCCATTCTTTGACCAAACTTCTGTCCCCACCCCTGGCCAACCCTCTCCCAATATTTGTTTTTGGCTTGGCATCCTTGTACTATTGTGAAGCACTTCAGAAAGTTTTTCTATGGTAACGGCATTACATCAGTGGCTGCAAACCAAGAAATTATTCTTATTTATTTGCCATTAATTATGATTCTTGTACATTAATTGTACTGTTATTTCCAGCAATGATGCTATGATGTTTTCCATCTTGCAAACTGGGCAAAATGGCTAATATATGTGGTCACTGCTTCTCAGCACGATGGCGATAAGAATCTTAGAAATGTGTAAAAGACAACAATTATACATTCTATCAATTTTAGTGCTTCACTATTGAATGTTCATTGCATTATATAACAACCAGTATAATATCGAAGCTGTGAGCTGTTGTTGTGAGGAGACAACAGACAGTACATCTTTGGATTGTGGGAGGAAACCCACACTGACACGGGGAGAATGTGCAAACTCCACACAAACAGTTATCTGAAGGTGGAATTGAACTCGGGTCCCTGGCGCTGTGAGGCAGCAGCGCTAACCACCGAGCCGATATCATGAAAGCCCAAATAGGCAACAGTTTTTGGTAATTTTTTCAAGAAAATCTGTTTTCTGTTCTCCCTGCTCTTTATGTCTCCTTGTGTAATCCCCTGCCCAGGAGATGACTGGCCTGCTGCCGAGGCATCATCAATTGATTTCTCCAGTGACTCAGTTGTCCATGCATCTGACAAGCTCCGGCTCAGATTTCTTGCTGTTTATTTTTGTTCCTTTTCATGAGGGCAGCAAAGATTCAGCTTCGTGTATTTTTAGGTTTCTACTTGTGGAACAGGGACGGGATATTGATATTTAAATTCCGAAGGGAGCTATGAGTCAGGAGATAAAGCTGCCTTGCACCAATTTGAATTAAAATTCCAGGGTATCTTTCTGGTAGTCCAAACTACAATACGTAATCATTCCCCAATCATAAAGTCTCAGGTTCCCACCGGATGGGGACTGATACTGTTGTTGTTGGTGGTATATTTCTTTTTTAAATTCACCAAGCGTCAGCAACAGGATTGTTTTACACCGAGTTGGTCAGATCGGGGTTTGACAACCTTCAGAAGTCAAAGTGGATTTCAAAGTCACTCAAATATAATGCCAGCACTTGCGTTTAGAATACAAAGAAGCCATTGAAATTCAGTATTACATAACTGACAATATCAGTATGCATTAAAACCATGAATGAATATAATCCAGTAGCTGGGGGCAGTGTACGTCAGACAGTTCTGAAACACAGTCTTTTTAGCAATCTTGCTTCCTAATCTCACAGAGCTGGCAGAAATTTTAATTAATTTTGTGACTCACCAGCATGTTGCATAGATTTATTCGCAAACAGATGAGCTATGTAAAGATTCAGCTGGTCCAAAAATGCATGCACATTATATATAGTTTGCCCCTGCCACTTACAGTTTATTTTGGAGATACGAGTTTCAATCAATCCCTTCACCAGACTGTGTGCTTATTGAAGATCTCCAATTTTGATAGCTCCTTGCTGGTGATGAAATGACAGCAACATCCGGAGTTGATGTTTTAAAGAGGAGTTCACCCCAGCCGAAAACAATATGATTTGAACAGCACATCAAAACGTGTTCTCAAGTGTTGCTACTGCTGCTGCTGTGTTTACAGAGAAATCCAGCATGCAAATGCGACTATTTTCGATTTGCAACTGTGACTTCTAAAGTCTTGACTACTTTTTTAAAATTCATTAATGCAGCCTCTTTAAAATAATAAAATGTCCCAATGCATATAATCAGACAAAATGAGGATAGTGTGTTCAATTGTTTCAAAGGCATGGGTGAATGTGGTAGGTAACTGGATGACGAGAATGTAGGATAACAGGTGGGTGAGGGGGTACAGGTGGCAGTTAAGTGGGTGAGAGGATAAGGTGGGTTGATGCTGGAAGGAGAGGTTGGTTCAGGTGAGGTGGTAGAGGTTGGGTGTCAAGGGGAGGATTGAGTGTTGTTGGCATTTCTTCTGTCTGCGTGGTACATTTTCAAGTTGGAAAGAAAAGGACAGTGCCACAGAGATCAATGCCAGGGCTCCAACTATTCCCAAGTTATACTAATGACTAAGACAAAGGAACTGAATGCAGATTACAAAGATAAGTTGAAATGTGAGATGCGAAGAGGGCATATGGAGTCTGCATAGGACCATAAATAGGTTAGTGAGTGAATAAACATTTAGCAAAGGGAGTCAAAATAGACTAAAATGTGAACTTGCCCCCTTTAGCATGAAGAATAGAAAACTAGCATATTATTTAAATGGAGAGAGAGATTGTGCAATTCAGAGCTACAGAGGGTGTCCTCACACATGAATCACATAAAGTTAGTTTCCACGTACAGCAAGTGATTACAAAAACAGATGATATGTTTTAATATAAAGGTTGGAATTCTTTGCGACAGTTATACAGAGCATTGGTGAGACCATTTCTGGGGTACAATGTATTGTTTTGATTTTCTTATTTAATAAAAGTGTTAGCAGCAGTTCCAAACTGAACCAGTATCCATTGGAGATTAGCAGGGTAAGAGTTGATATTATTGAGGCATATACAATCCTGAGAGGACTCGACAAGATGGATGCTGAAGGGATGTTTTCCTTGTAGGAGAGACTAGAACTATGGTACACAGCTCAAAAATAAGGGTTCTTCCATTGATGAGCGAGAGAGAAGGAGAAATTATCTTTGGAAGCCTCTTCTCCAGACAACAGCACAGGTAGAATCATTTAATATGTTTAAGGCAGAGGTAATTAGATTCTTGCCTAACAAGGGAGTAAAGGTTATCGGGGAAAGGCAGGAATGTGCAGTTGAGGCCACAATCAGAATTTTATTCACTGGTACAGCCAGCCAGAAATGCCAAATAGCGCACTGGGGAGGTGATGACCTAGTGGTATTATCACTGGACTGTTAATCCAGAGACCCAGGTAATGTTCTGGGGACCTGGGATCGAATGCCTCATGGCAGATTCATTAAAAATTTGGAATTAAGAATTTTATGATGATCATAAAACCATTGTTGATTGTCAGAAAACCCATCTGGTTCACCAATGTCTTTAGGGAAGGAAACTGCCATCCTTAACTGGGCTGGCCTACATGTGACTCCAGACCCCCAGCAATAACTCTCAACTGCCATCTGGGCAATTAGGGATGGGCAACGAATACTGGCCTAGCCAGAAACACCCTCATTTTGTGAACGAATGAAAAACAATTCCTGCTCCTAATTCTTATGCTTGTATGTACTTATGTTCACATGCGTCAAGTTTGCATTTATTGAGAAGCTAAAAATTGACATCAAATAAGAAATGGAGGGTGATAGCAATCTTAGAATAGAGAAACATTTACGATATCAGTTAGAATTGGGGGTGGGGCAGTGCCAGGAAGAAATGATAGTTGGTTGGCAGTTTAGTGGGAATGGGGTTGAAAGAGCCAGAGTTAAGCCTCGTGGCTATGAAAAGGATTGAGAAGGCATAGGAGATATAGGACAAACGCGTGAGGTCAGTGTTAGGGCAGGGGTAACTTTTGGGGAGGCTTGTCTTTGAGGAAAGTGAAGCAACAGAGGCAACCTCAAACTTTGTAACAAAGTATTCATGAGTCCAAGTCCAATCTTTGGGTAGTGCTCGACATGAATCTCAGCTCGTGCATTAGTCAGGATGCAATAGGTCTCAAACTTCCAGACCAAGGAGGAGAAATTATCAGTGATGGTCTTGCTCCTGATCATTGTGTAGTTCTCACCCAGCACATGTCAATCTGCCTCAAAACAGGCTCCGGTTCCGCACAAGTGCAATGTATAGCCATATACACACTTGCGATCTCTGTCTCTAGCAACACTCGCTCAACCTCTCAGCTGTCCAGCTCCCCAGTTTCATTCATTCCATCATCTTATCTGATGTGTTAACAAAAAGATGTTTACCTTCCTTTCAGCAGTTAAGTATCACAAGCTCCAACAACAAAATATTCTTCCGCTCTCTCTTCCCCTTCACTTCCCTCTTCTATTCTCACCTCTACATGTGTTTGCAGTACCCTCCCACCTTTGCCACTCTGTTGCTGAACAATCTTTCCTTAGAGAATGATTCAGTTTTACTCCTTTATGCTAATCACCTCAATGAATTTTTAGCATGGCACAAATCTAAGCTTCACTTCTGTTGCTTAAAACTCCATGCTCACTCTTTTGACCAGCTGTCCTTCTCCCACCTTCTCCCGCTGTCAATTGAACCCACTGATCCATCTTCAATACTCTCCATTCACCTGGATCCCTGCCTTGGGTTTCTTATCTGTTGTTGTCACAAAAACAATTTCTCCTTTAACTCACTTCATAGCTATACCTTCTTGAAGGATCATAGAATCCCTATAACCATTCAGCCCATCAAGTCCACACCGACCCTCTGAAGAGCATCCCACCCTGACCCACCCCATCCCTGTAACCCTGCACTTCCCATGACTAATCCACCTAGCCTGCACATCCCCCGGACACGATGGGCAACTTAAGCATGGCCAATCCACCTAACCTGTGCAACTTTGGACTGTGTGAGGAAACTGGAGCACGGAGGAAACCCACACAGAGTCGCAGAGAATGTGCAAACTCCACACAGACAGTTGCCCAAAGTTGGAATCAAACCCAGGACCCTTGCACTGTCAGGCAGCAGTGTTAACCACTGAGCCATCATGCTATCCCAAGGAGATAAAGAAAATGTCTTGTTCTAGTTCCTCTACTCTTTTTCTGGTATATTGATGACTATATCAGTATAATTTTCTGTTCTAACCGGGAACTTAAAATCTTCACCAAATTTGCTTCCAATTGCCACCCTCTCCTCACCATCCAAGATCCAAAGTATTCCTTCCAGTTGAAGTAGTGATGTATGTGTGCTCCTTTCAAATTCAAGTACTGTATTTATTGCTCACAATCTGATGTCCTCTACACTGAAGAGACCAAACACAGACTGGGTAACCAATTTTTAGAAAACCTCTCTCTCTGTTCACTGGCATGATCCTGAGCTCATTCCCAATTATTTTGTGTTTTCAATTTCTCTGTCCCCATTTTTGAGGACAGACAATCAGTTAATATTCATTAGAAGCCCACTAACTCTTACATTTGTCTCAACTAAACTTCCTCACACACTGCTCCCTGCAAGGATTCCATTCCATTCTCTAAGACTGTTCATCTCAGTCACATCTATACTGATGTTGGAGCTTTGCAGACCAGCATAACTGTATCCTCTTTCCTCAACTCACCTCCTGACTCCCCAAAGCTTGTGCATCATCTACAAGGCACAAGTCAGGCGTGTGATGGGATACTCCCTACTTGCCTGGATGGGTGCAGCTCCAACAACACTCAACAAGCTTGACACCATCCAGGACAAAGCAGTTCATTTGACTGGCACCACATCCCTACTCCCTCCACCACCAAGGCTCAGTAGCAGCAGTGTGTACTATCTCAAGATGTGCTGCAAAAATTCACTAAAAATCCTTAGACAGCACCTTCCAAATCCATGACCACTTCCATCTAGAAGGACAAGGGCAGCAGATACATGTAAACACCACCACCCGAAAATTCCCCTGCAAGCCACTCATCATCCTGACTCATACCTTTCCTTCACAGTCGCTGTGTCAAAATCCTGGAATTTCCACCCTGAGAGGGAGATAATCTACAGCATGTGGACTGTAGTGGTTCAAGAAGGCAGCTCACCACCACTTTCTCAGGGGCAACTAGGGATGGGGAATAAATGCTGGCCCAGCCAGTTACACCCACATCCCATAAATGATTAATGAAACTGATGTTTTCCCATGACCACCTCCCACACAGTTGACAGGTCCTCAACCATGTTCAACCCAATTCCTGAACTTCTGCTCACATCCCTTCGACTCCCTCCCAGAACCAACAAAAGCTATTTTTATCTTCACCTTCCAACATTCTAGCCTACACATTGAATAGATAATCCTCGACCAATGTCAAACATATCTTCCCTATCCCTGTCAAGAGGGAGCAGATCCTCCGTTGGTCCACCCCTCAACCACCCGACACATTCCCATTCCCATGTAACAACTGCCCTTTTCCCTCTGCCCTCTCCTGGCCATCCAAGGTCTCAAGTATTCCTTCCAGTTGAAGTAGTGATGTATGTGTGCTCCTTTCAACGTCAATACTGTATTTGTTGCTCACAATCTGATGTCCTCTACACTGAAGAGACCAAAAACAGAACCGGGTAACCAGTTTGAGGAACACCTCTCTCTCAGTTCACTGGCCTGCTCCTGAGCTCCTATTTGCCTCCCATTTTAATTTTCTGCCTTACTCAAATCTTGACATCTCTATCCTTGACCTGCTGCAATGTGAAGTTCACTCGCAGGGCCTTTTGATTAGGAACTTTGCATCAAAACAATAGATATAACAACGAGTTCAACAATTTCAGACCATAAACTCTGTCCCATCATTTTCTTTGTTTTTGCTTCCATGTGCTGGCCTTAATCTTGTTCTTCAGGCTTTTGCTTTTGGATACTACCATTTGATATTGTGACATTCACATTCACTTTGGACAAATCTTTTGATTCCTCACTATAAACGTTACCGCTCTAACAAGTCTCTGGTCCACCAACCTCTCGCAACCTCTTCCTTTTGTTCATCCTTTCCCTAGCTCAAAGCTTATTACACTTCTGTCTTCCTTCAGTTTTAAATAAGGCCTTTGAACTGAAAAGTTAACTCTGCTTCTACTTCCACCAATGTTGCCAGAAGTCATGTTGAGGTTGTACACGATATTGGTGAGGCCTCTTCTGGATTATGTTGCAGTTTTGGTCACCCTGCTATAGGAAGGATAATAAATTGGAGAGGGTTCAGAAAAGATTTACTGGCATGTTGCAGCAAATGGGGGGGTTTGAGTTATAAAAATAGACTGGGACTTTTATCACTGGAGTGTAAGAGATTAAGGGGTGACCTTATTGAGGTTTATAAAATCATGAGGGGCATAGATAAGGTGAATGACAAGGGCTTTTCCCTAGGGTGGGGGAGTTCAAAACTTGGGAACATATTTTTAAGGTGAAAGGAGAAAGATTTAAAAAGGACATATGAGGGGCAACATTTTCCACACAGAGAGTGGTTCATGTGTGGAATGAACTGCCAGAGGCAGTTGTGGATGTATGTCCAGTTACAACATTTAAAAGATAAGCGGGACTGGTTTATTCTGGGAACATGGTCAGCATGGACTAGTTGGACTGAAGGGTCTGTTTCCATGCTGAATGACTCTATGAATATAACTGCTGGTTACTTCCACCATTTTCTGTTTTTATTTCAGGGTCAGCTGTGCCCTGTCAAACTCCTAAACACAAGAGTCACAAAAGGGTGAGGTTTCGCAGCATCACTGATTCCCATACAGTGAAGCCCTGGCTTCAGCTTTCATTTTAAAAGAACAAGGTAGGAAAGAAAAGAAACCTATCGAATCTGACTGAAATAAGAAGAACCTGAAATACAGTATTTGCTGCCGTACTGAATTAAAAACCGGGACAGCTGTTAGCTGTGCTGAAAACAATAATAACTAAAAATTAGCGACTTTGCATAATAAATAACATCAAAAGTTAAACCAATTTCCTTCAATAAAATCTGTGCTGTCCTTAATCTTATTCTGTTTCTCTTCTTCAGCTGTGAGTGATTCAGTGAACTTCAAAAATAATAATGAAGTCAGCCTCTGTTCAGCAAATGTGACAGGCTTACCTTCAAATTCGGTATGACAGTTACTTGAACTTTCATTCAGACTTTCCTCCTCAGTTATGATGATGTTCTCAATATCTTTCATTGTCAAATGGTCCCGAAATGCATGAAATAATATGTGCTTCAGTTCTTCCAGTGTAATCCTCTGCATATCGAACTGATGGAAAAATAAAAGTCAAGCTGAGTCCAGAATGACAAAATCTTTACCTAATTTAAAGGCAGAGGGAGATCAGGTAAATTAAAATTTGTGTCTGAATTCCATGTTTTGTTGATATTTCCTCAACAAGGTCATTCTCAATTGCAAAGATTACTCCCACTGTTTGGAGATTGGGTCATTGGCTTCTGAACAATCACTGGATGCTTTGTGAATGGTAAACAAAATACAGAGTTGACACACACAACATGATTTTGTGATTTGCTAATTAAAATTATGGCTAATGGTTTAAAAAGATAATAAAACATGTATTCGCCTAGGAGCAGATACCATTCCTGTAGAGAAATTTCTTCCAACTAAATGTTGTAAAGACTGAAGATATTGTCTGCGGTCCCCATTACTGGTCTTCTTGCCTCACCACGAATTTGTGACTTGTCTTTGGCAAAAATCTGAGGCCAAATCAGACTGCTCATAACCTTGGTATTATATCTGAGATGAGCTTCAGACTACAATATCTGTATCATCACCAAGACTACCCCTTCTGCCACTATAACAAAGCTAGATTCTTTCTCTGCATCAGCTCACCTCCTGTTGAGACCGTTATTGATGTCTTCATTACTTCTATAGATTGGGCTATTGCAATGATTTCCTGGCTGACTTCCTGCCTTCCACCTGCACTAAAGTTCAGCTCGTCCAAAACTTTGCTAGCAAATCCTAACTTGTCCAAGTTCTATTCACCCATTACCTCTGTACTTGTGAATCTACATTGGCACATGTCTTGGCCACATCTTAGTTGTGAAATTCTTGTCCATATTTTGAAAATCATTCATTTCTTCTCCTCCTTATGTTTATAACTCCTCCAGCCAATAATGATTGGCTCCTCCAGAATCCCTGATTTTAATCCTTTCACCATAAGCATGTAGGCCTTCAGCTATCTCAGCTCGAAGCTCTGAACTTTCTTCCTTAAATCTTTCTGAAGGTGTGTATATATACCTCTCTCTCTCTCGATTAAGATGCTCCTTAAAAGCTACATTTTTGATGAAGCTTTTGATCATAATTCTTAATATCTCCTTTTGTGGCTTGGTATTCAATTTGTTCTGTTTAACTACATTAAAAATGCTAAATAAATGCAAGTTGTTGTTGCTTTAGAACATTTTTTACCGTGTAACGTATTTTTGTACTTCTAACATAAATGTCAAAGAGGTTAAAACTGCAGGAATAGGATATCTGACACCTTATGCGCTTAACAGTAAATCAACCAGTTAGTAACCATTTTCACAAAACCCAGCAAATATTCTCTCTTTTTTTATAAAAAATAATTTCTTCGCACTTATTGATGCTGTCTCTCTGCTTTGCTTTGCTGTAGGGCAGTTTATAAAAGCATCTATTTCTCCACTTTATGTGTCAGCTTGATTCAGCGACAGCCTTCACATCTTTAAGTTAGAAGGATTTGAATGATCAAATCCCAATTTGAAACTTGAGCATTTCTTCCAGGTTGACACTTAAGTGCATTTTGAGGCACTTGGGGGAGGAGCCTGCTTTGAAATGAGATACTAAATTTAGACACCAACCATTCCAACAGGCATAAATGCTCGCTTGGCACAACATGTAAAAGCAGAGAGTTCTCGTGCTGTCCTGACAAACAATTTCACTTCACTCAACAGCAGCAAAATCAGACAGAATCAGATGGATTATCTTGCAATTAGCACAACCAGGTTAATAATACAATTGACAATCTTGCTAAATATCGAAAATTCAGAATAGGAATGAAAATGGTAGTTGGAGAAGCAAAAGGAGAACATGATAAGAGACTGGCAGTTAACATGATAGGGAATTTTCAGAAGAAGGGTCCAGACCCGAAATGTCAGCTTTCCTGCTCCTCTGATGCTGCCTGGCCTGCTGTGTTCTTCCAACTCTACACCTTGTTATCTCAGACTCCAGCATCGGCAGTTCCTACTATCTCTGAGGGAATGGAAAAGTGTTCTGTAGATACATGAATAGTAAAAGGAGGCCAAATAGAGACCAAAATAGAGATTTACAGATTGAAACAAGGCACATGGCAAAGGTACTAAATAAGCCTGTACTCCTTTCTTTATCGAAAAGAACGAATGATACCAAAGTCATAGCAAAAGAGGTGTTGGTTGAGACACTGCATAAACTAAAAAAAAAGAAAAAGTGCATGTATTAGACAGGCCACATCAAATCAGTTGCATCTCAGGGTATGGAGGGAAAAAGACCACAAGATTAAACCCAGAACTACAAATCACTCAGTTTAACTTGGTGGTGAGAAAGCTATTAGAAATTATTTTCTGGGACAAAATTAATAGTGACTTGTGAAAATGCAGATTAATTAAGGACACATTTGTCCTAAGTAAATTATGTTTAACGACCTTGCTTGAGTTTTGTGATGAGGTGACAGAGAGGGGTGATGAGGTTAGCATGGTTGATGTGGTATACACAAACGACTAAAAACTTTTTGATTAAGTGCGACATAATAGAATTGTCAGCAATTAAACAGAATAAAAGGGACAGTCACAGTATGGCTGTGAAGTTGGCCAAGTGGAAGGGAACAGACAGTTGTACTAAATGGTTGTTTCTCATACTGGAGAGGAATTTATCCCAGGGCTCCCCAGGAATTGGTTCTAGATTAATACTTTTCCTTACGTTGATTAATTGATGAGGCTTGGATATGCAGAACACAATTTCAAAATTTCAAAGATGTCACAAAACTTGAAACTATTGTGCACTGTGAAGAGGATGATGATAAGATTCCAAAAGGAAATGGAGATCTTGAAGAATAGGCCCACACATGAAATAGATGAATGCCAGTAAAGAAACGAAGTGAAACATTTTAATAGGAAGAATGAGGTGAGAAGATAAAATATGGGGAGGTAATGGCCTAGTGGTATTATCGCTGGACTGTTGACCCAGATAATGTTCTAAGGGCCCAGGTTCAAATCCCGCCACAGCAGATGGTGGAATTTGAATTCAATAAATATTTGGAATTAAGAAGCTAATGATGGCTGTGATTCTGTTGTCAATTGTTGTAAAAACCCATCTGGTTCACTAATGTCCTTTAGGAAAGGAAGCTACCATCTTTACCTGGTCTGGCCTACGTGTGACTCCAGACCCACAGCAATGTGGTTGACTCTGAACTGCCCTCTGGGCAATTAGGGATGGGCAATAAATGATGCCTCGCCAGCGATGCTCTCATCCCATGAATGAATAAAGGAAAATAAATTCTAAACAGAGTACAAGATCAGAGGGAACTAGAGTTGTATATGTTCAAATGGTTTCAGGTGGCAAGGCAGATTCAGAAAGAGCTGTATGGTATTTATAAAATGAATCATCAAGTGCCACATTGAGGTGGACTTTTATAAAACACTGTTTTGTCTCTAACCTCACTATTGTTTCCAAATCTGGGTATAAAGCCTTAGGAAGGAACTGAAGGCATGAGAGAGAACTCAAATAAAAATCATGAGAATGATTTCAGAGACAATGTACTTCAGTTATGTGAACTGATTGGAGAAGCTGGGACTGTTCTCCTGAAACAAGGCTGAGAAATAATTTGACAGAGATGTTCAAATTAGGTGGAGCCTGCACAGAGTGGACAAGGAGAAACTTTTCTTATTGGTGGAAGGAGGTCAAGAGCTAAAGGGCACCAATGTAAGGTAAATGACAAAAGAACCAAGGCAGCTTGTTTTTATGCAGCAAAGGTTGAAGATCTGAAATGCACTGTCTGATATGATGGAGAGCAGATTCAATGTGGCTTTAGAAAGAGAATTGGATAATTATCAATGATTGAAATACATATGCAGGGCTTTGGGAAAAGTTAAGAGACCAAGACTAGCTTAGTTGCCCTTGACTTGCTGTTTCATTTCCTCCATTGCAACTGACCACACCTTGAAAATAATCCATTAGCCATAAAGCACTTTAAGACACCCTGAGCTATTGAAGAGCACTATATAAATGCAAGACTTATTTGTTATTTGTGGGTCCTTGCAGAATGCAAATTATTTGTTGCATTTATTATAGCACAGTTACCGCATTTCAAAAATAATTCATTGCTCGTGAGAATGTTGTTTAAATGCAAGCTTTCTTTCTTTTGCTTCATTAGTATTTGTGGAAAACCTAGTACAAATATTTGTAATACCCCTCTGTTGTTTGCAAACTATAGTGAAAGGAGGAAAATACGTCTGAAAGAATCCAAAGACACTTTCAAACTTACATACTGCACAAGTTTTATGAAGAAGCAAGACCAGAAAGAGGACACTGATCATTACTTTCAGTATAATTAGATTTAGATTTTTGATTTAGATTTATTTAATATTATCACATGTACCTAGGTACAGTGAAAAGTGGAAAATGTCGCTACGTTCCAGTGCCATCTTGGATTACAGGATAAATTACTGAAGAAATTGTATAAATGGTAAATACTGAATAAATTAATATTACATTGATATTACTAATTAGTACGAATACTATAATATTATACTATAAATTATGAATCACATGCAAAATTATCAGCTTGGGAAAACGTTTCAGATGCATGAGCTTTAAGACAGACAACTTATTAAGCCATGAACTAACTGAAGATGGAAAAATGCCTGTGATTTTCCACATTTTGAATTATCAATCTCAGGCATATAGGCATGGGCGGTACAAAGTGCAAGGTGCCACTTTCTCTTGGCAAGAGAATTCTCACCTGGACTGCTCTCAAGTTTCTCAAAGCGTTGTTTTAGAGCCATATTATTAAAGGCTTGGCAGCAAGTGACAGATCTCCACATGCTTTAATAGAAATAGTGCTCAGTAACAGGACTAAAAAGGAGATTGAGAATTAAATATCCTAAAGAAGAGGAAATGTATGAGAATTTTGTATGACACCTGTGATGTGAAAAATACTGGAGTCCATTAAAAAGAAAATTCAACAACACTCGATGAGAATAATGATTTATATATTCCAGAAAATACATGTAAGATGCGTTTAGTTAAATAAATATATT